AAACTTAGATGATATGTGACGCTCCTTTTATGTGCATTATATTAAACAAAAATTTACAGTACTTGTTCGAACTGTGTTGTTTTCGATAGAACCGGTTTTTTTTGGTTCGAAAGGTCCTATCTGCTTTGGACGATTCTGTTTATCGATTTCTCTTTTTTTATAACCGCAGCTAAGCAAACACGTTTCGTGCTATTTTCATCACACAGTTTAGTAAAAGAAGTTCTTATCTAGCGCTCAGAACGTCCAGCATTGCATTATAGGCAATGATTTTGCAGCTGAGAAATTAACGAAAGAAAAAGTCGATTGAGAGAATCAATCAAATAAGATAGGACCTTTTGAAATGTTTATCTAGAATAGACTTCTCTGACTTTTGCTAGATGTCTAAGTATTAGTACTGATCGAGGGGTGCGACACATCTAAATCTCGATTTTAAATGGTCGAAAAATCTCACACTAGCGAATCAATCTACGAAAAATCGTTTTTCCATTTCTTGCATTTAAACCCATCTTCTCGCATCGCTCTCCACCTTTTATCTATTAAGCGCGAGTGCCACTCACAACAGCAAAGAAAAAATGTCCTGCATCTTAGATAGAGTCGTCCCCCTCGGTACTGATCATTGCGGTTAAATTAAAGTATAGGTACTGGAAATATCACAATAGATCTAAGAAATGGTCGCAGGTGAATATAATCAACACGGAATTTGAAAAAAATACAAGTTATATTATAATCCACACAATGCTTGCATTTACACTCAGTGTTATCAATTCTACGGGTTTATCCATAGATCTGCAGATGTTTAGATTTTTTTTATCTAGTTCGTTTATTTGGAAGGCTCAATCGCGTTAGCTTTACGGAGCCGATAATTCATTGTTCACTGTGTGTAACAAAATTCACTTAATTCTATGTCTAGTAGGAGTTGGGCCGATTACTCGCGGCTTACTCGAGGTTAGAAGGGTACATTTTCGAAGGATAGGATCAGGGGAGGAGCTTGGGGTAGGGTAACGTTGTCTCATCAGAGCGTTGTCGCCAGTATGAATGGTAGTGCGGTTCTAGTTACGTCTGGAGTTCGACCGGCTATGGTGACCAGTGGGCGACGATGAGATTCATCGAGACGGGGGGACAAGACAAACAAAAACTAATAAATAGAGACAAAAGACAAAAGGAATTAAATTCTTATACTAGACATTTGAAGAAAAACATAAACGGACTGCATATAGTAGAGATCACGGGTTGCCAACACGTCTCTGATAGGAACATAGGGTTGCCTTCCTTGGGCCTCGAGGGTATTCAAAAGTCGCTCTCTGGCGGCGTCATTATCCGTACATTGCCAAACTGCGTGTTCGATGTCATCGTAACCGTTTCCACACCGACAGATGTTGCTGTCCACGAGGTTTATTCTATTGAGATGAGCATCTAGCGAGTAGTGGTTGGACATAAGTCTACTCATCACGCGAATGAAGTCACGACTTAAGCCCAAGCCTTTAAACCACGCTCTCGAAGAAACATTAGGAATAATTGAATGTAACCACCGTCCAAGATTTCCAGTGTCCCAATCGGTTTGCCAACTCGAAAGGGTACTCTGACGCACTAAATGGTAAAATTCATCGTGTGAAATTTGCCTGTCATACAATTCGCCTTCCTGCGCCTCCGACACTTAGAAAACAAGCTATCATAGTACAGTACCAAACTCAAATGTCATCCGACAGGCTCTGTCATAAAGGGTGTCCACGATGAAATTGCCACACTATGAAATTGCTCTAACTTTTTAACCGTTGGGTAGAATTTAATGAAAATTTGGGTGGATTTAGTTCATAGTGCATTATTTACATCCTGCAAAGTCCTGTGATCAAAACTCGCGGAAATGGAGTCGGAAGAACAGCTCGTGCGTGATAAAATCTTGCGCATTCATCACGAGAACAAGGAACTCTCGCATCGTTCCATCGCTAAAACGTTGGGAATCGCGAATTCCACGGTGTCGCGAGTGATTAAGCGGTTCGAGGAACGGTTGACTACCGATCGGAAGCCCAGAAGTGAAGGAAAAAGTATTCCGTACAACACCAAAAATCACAACCGCGTAGTTGGGGCCTTCAACCGAAATCCGAACGCCTCCGTTAGGGATGTGGCTAAGAAGCTGCACCTAAGCCGAAGTTTTGTCCAGAAGGCCAAAACTAAGGCTGGGCTTCGAACGTTCAAGGTACAAAAGGCCCCTAATCGCGACGAGAAGCAGAACAAGTCCGCCAAAACCCGTGCCAGGAAGTTGTACCTCAACATGCTGACGAAAGTTGAATGCTGCATCATGGACGACGAAACATATGTGAAGGCCGACTTCAAACAGATCCCCGGCAACCTGTTTTTCACGGCCAAGGATAAGTTCAGCGTTCCGGAGGATGTCCGCACTCAGAAGATGTCCAAATTTGCGAAGAAATTCCTGGTTTGGCAAGCCATCTGCACGTGCGGGAAGCGGAGTGCACCTTTCGTGACCCAGGACACGCAGAACGGACAGGTGTACATAAAAGAGTGCCTCCAGAAGCGGCTGCTTCCTCTCCTGAAGGCCCACAACGTCCCAACAATCTTCTGGCCGGATTTGGCCTCATGTCACTACTCCAAGGACGTGCTAAAGTGGTATGCGAACAATAAGGTCAATTTCGTGCCGAAAATGTTCAACCCTCCCAACACTCCGGAGCTCCACCCCATCGAGAAGTACTGGGCGATTATGAAGCAGCACCTTCTTAAACGACCTAAGGTAGTGAAGGCAGTCGAGGAACTGAAGAAAGTATGGGTTTACATGCAAAAAACGGTTGATTCACAGGTTGTGCAGAATCTTATGGCCGGGGTTAAGGCCAAGGTGCGGGCATTTGCGTATGGACTGTAAATAAAATACGAGTAAAATGGTAAAATGAAGTTTAATAGTTATTTCTCAATCCCTGAAAATTTGATGGCAATCGGATGAAAACTCGAATTTTGCGAATCAATTTTGTGTGTGGCAATTTCATCGTGGACACCCTTTATGACACTGTCGCCGAAGACCGTCACGAATGTATGTATTTTAGTTTTCTCATAATAAGAGCTGCTGATGTTGTGCTTGTGTGAAATCTGAAAATAGCAAGCAATGATGTCCTGATCAGATATGGTTTAATTTACACCAAATTGAGGAATTAGAACGAAATTACTCATGTCATATGATAGTTATTTGATAATTTTCTTTTCGCTCGAATGTTTTTCTACCGGTTGTGTTGTGTGAGAGAGACGACGGTAGAGCATGAGTGTAGGAATAAAAACAGACTGTCGCGCACGACAACGAAGCGAGTGTAGTAAAAAACGTCAACTGTTTCAACCCCTGGCCGTAGTAAAATTTCTTGGGCACTTTTCAAAAAAATACTGAAAAAAAAAATCCACACATTTTTATTGACGAATTTTCATAAGAAATTCCACATAATTTTCATGTGACCACACAAACGGAATCCACTCAGCAGTACACATGAAATTTATTTGTCAAATTAATCGTAGGTAGGTGTACCGGTTATGGCTATACGTTCCTATTCTGATGTGTTCCAACTATGACCTATGGCATCGTTTCTCAAACTATGAGTCGCGACTCACCGGTGGGTCGCAGACTGCCCTCAGATGGATCGCAGAAATTCAGACCTAACCTTCTTTTTTTTTGTTTTTCTGGTCATTCTGGCGTTGAAAGTAAGTCTCGAGTCGGTTTTTTACAACGTTATGAAGTGGTTTTCTATTTAGCTTTAATATTACATTATTGTTTTGATACTTTTCATGCGTTTAGATAACTCAGTGTTTTCAGATCATTTTCGCACATTTGAGGCCGTTTTTTGATTGATTTGGCGATGTACCACAATTTTGTCGTTAAAATGTCATGATTTGTTGGCGTTTTTAAGATCATTTTGGTCTTAGAACATGTGCATTTAATATTGGCGGGTCGGGAGCGTATAAAATTCCTAAGAGCGGATCGCCATCTAAAAAAGTTTGAGAACCGCTGACCTATGCGATTCCCATAGGCCATAATTGGAACATACCATAATAGGAACGTAACTGTTCTATGTGTGGTCACACGTGTATCTGACACATATATATCATTTGTTGATCACATTTGAAAAATTCATGTGTGGGACACATTTTTGACGTTTTCTTTTTGTACGGATTCTAAAAATCTAGACTCACCCTCGTTCATCACTATTAAAAAAATAACTTCTTGAATGATTATTTTTGGAAAATGGTGATTAAATTTCGCAATAATTAACGCAGTGGAAACAAATTTACCTATCTACGAATCGTACTCCATGAAAAGTTAACAACATTGCACACACTTAAGCATGCAGCAAATGTCAGAGCAATCTCTTACTAGCAGCAGCAGCAGTCAGGCAGGAACCTAGCGAACGGGTTAAACTCGATATGACAAGCACCGAGTTTTCCACCAATAAAGCAAATGCGATTAACTTTTCATCATACAGTCAGGCACATCAGACATCAGAGCCAGGAAACGATAGGGATGAAAGCTAACTTTCGACGTGAACGAGCGCACGACGGATGTATGTAGGTGTGGTAAGACGAGAAAGAAAGAAAAAAACGCTCGGAAAAATTGGTGGAAACTCTCGCTTGCGCTCATTTTCCATCACATCATCGCGTCGCAAGTTTGAGACGCGATATCGGGTCAACAGCAAGAAGAAGAAGATACGTTAAGTTTAAAATGCTATTAAAAATTTAATGTCACTCACAAACGGAGCATCCTCGTTTATCGTCGTGTGCGCCAGCATCGTCCCTTGAGAGTTTCTAACTTGATGATTCTCTTTCAGCAACTTTGTATGATTTCCTCGGCATGCCAATCGCCTATCAGATTTGCGTGAAATTTAAATTTTCGAATTCTACCTCCTCCATGTGAACCTCACAGATAACCGTGCGTCTCGCTGTCATCATACAATCGTTAATTTTACTTTGAACAAAGTAAGTAATGCAGCTTTTTTTCCTCTTTCCTAATTTTTCAGGCGGATTTAACCTGTAAGGACACAAAACAATCAGTGGGAGCGCTGTTCACCAAGACGAACTTTCTCACATTCAAGTACGTGACCGATAACTGGGGCACGGAAACGAACGGTTTCAAAATGGTTATAACCTCTATCAAGGATTCCAGTAAGTAGAAAACATTAAAACACAGCTCGGCACCAGCTGGCAACGCCATTTCCGCCCAGATTACCTGCTTCAACTTCCGGAAGGATTTCTCATTCCATTTGTTTTTCGTTCGACTTTTGCACTTCCACAGAGATCAACTGTGCCGACTTTCGGTGTACGCAGCCGGAGTTTTGCATATCCCAGGAGCTGGTGTGCGACGGCGTGAGTCACTGTCCGGACGGATCGGACGAAGCCATCGGGTCGCTGTGTCCGGCACCGAACGAGTACATGACGACCATCTTCGGGTTGGATCTGATGGTGCTGATTCTCGTCGGCGTGGGTTGTCTGGTGGCGTGCGCGATCATCGTGTTCTTGACGATTTGTGTGTACCTGCGGAACTCGCGAGCGCCCAATCAGCTCCATTCGTCGATACAATGTAAGTGAAGGGACAGAGGGGTGTTCGCCCTCTGTGGCATGGGGTTGTCACGTGCTGTTGCTAGGAAATGTTCGATAGACTAGACCGTAAGGGGTTCAGTTTTGTATGTGTAAATTGGTTTTAAGATTCTTTGCTATTGCGGGGACACAGTGTCTTTGTTAAGCAGCTCTACTTCATGAGTAGCAAGTATTTATTTAGCAATGGTAGGGTGGAGATATCTTTTGATTCCATAAAGCTTTTTGACGTTTAATCGGCGCACACTACTGTACTATTTAAATCGAACGAGTGCGAGCAAGACGGAAACAGATTAGTGGGAAAACAAACCGTCCATACATAAACGTCATAAACGTCAAATATATGCAGTAATTAGCTAGAAATCAGCAACATTCTACATGATGACATTAACCTGATCTTTGTTGCTTCTTTATACGAAAATGTTCTTTCGCTGGCAGAAAACAGTTCAGAAATGTCACGACAATTTTTCGGGCTTGCCACTTAATTTGTGTGTGTGTCTTTTCTATGGTCATTATGAAAAGTGTCAAATGTTAAGGAAAAAAACCAGTACTCGTGCCACCACTGGTGGCAAGTACAATCATACTCGGGAAGGCGAGAAAATTTTCAACTAGAAAAATTCTTAGCCCGGACCGGGAAGTCGGACCCAGAGCTGCCTCCAGCATGGTGTTGCTTTATATCTGCGCCTTTACCGACTAAGCTAACCCAAGTAACATTGCATGTTTTATGGAGGATTCAAAGCATGCTACAAGTCTAATCATGGTCTGCAGAACCCTTTTAAAACCGAAATTGTTACTTGGGAAGGGAGGTCCCATTGAAATAATTTCAGTGCTCGACAACTGATGAAAATCAAGCGTGACTGCTTCTCGTTCGGATTTTTCTGAACAGAAAAAATCTATGGTCACGTCTTCGGAAGGGAAGTAAAGCCGTTGATTTCGGCCCATGTGTTGATGGGTGCGATATCTAGCCAGGTGTGGAAGCCGTCTTCGTGGCATCCCATTGTCGGTGATTGACACTCGATAGTGAAACAGAGACCGACGTAAAACAAAAGAATCAAGAAGACCTGTTAAAACTCCATAGAATATGAGCAGTGTTGAAAATTGTCACCGTCAGTGCATAAATTTGGGCTACTATGACGACCATTACAACATCCAGGGTGTCAATTCAAATACATTTTTTTTCTTTTGTTTATTGTTTATTGTTTATCAGTCAACAGGTAAAATGTTTACCCCAATGACACCTGTTCTAAAACTAAATACAAAACTAACGAATAACATAAATTAACATAAAACTTGTTTAAAACTACGCTTGTTTGTTTCTCGTGACACGTTGAAATCGTACACATAATAACACCGGTTGAATACACGGGACATGCTTCGCAAAGGTTCGTGAAAGCCATAATTAGTTCTTGCCGGAGGGATGGTGATAAACGAGTGCGACCGAAGATTGCGACGACGTGTGTTGATGTCCAAGAAACTAAGAAGCGTAGGACTGTCAATGTTGCCTTGCAGAAGATCCCCAACAAAGCACGCTTTTGCCACGTTGCGTCTTGCTTCTAGTAATTCCAAATTTATAAGTAGACAACGGCTTTCATAACTTGGCAGGTTGAATGGATCTCTCCACCTAAGATGACGTAGAGCGAACCGGACGAATTTTTGCTGAACAGCTTCGATGCGTTGAGTTTCATTCTGGTAATAAGGAGACCAGACGATAGACGAATACTCCAAGATAGGGCGCACAATTGAGCAATATAAAGCTTTTAGGCAGTAAACGTCCTTGAACTTTTTTGCAAAGCGAAATAAAAATACTAGTTGCGATGAGGCTTTAGACACAACGTACGCGACGTGATCCTAGAAGGTTAATTTTGTGTCAACCAGAATCCCCAGGTCCTTGACTGTCGAATCACGTTGTAGATTCACGCCTCCCAAAGCATAGCTAAAATGGAAGAGTGATTGCTTGCGGCCAAATGAAATAACCGAACATTTGGACACGTTCAGCGACATTCGATTAATATGACACCATTCAGCGAAGGCTTCCAGTTGTTGTTGCAGAAAAAACGCGTCTTGTGGTTGCTTAATCGTGTTGTAAAGCTTCAGGTCATCGGCATACGAGAGTTTTAGGCATTTCAAGATGAAATTGACATCGTTCATATACAGCAAGAATAGAAACGGCCCCAAGTGACTTCCTTGGGGAACACCGGACCAAACCGGAAAGGAGGGCGAAACGTGGTCTCCAATTTTGACGGACATACTTCGACCGGTTAGGTAGGATCGAAGCCAGGAAAGCAAGTTATTGTTCATTCCCAGCTTGTCGAATTTAGCAACTGCGATTTGATGATTCATTTTATCAAACGCCGCGGATAAGTCTGTGTAAATAGCGTCTACTTGTTGACCATTTTCTATTTGGCGGATCACGAACGAAGGGAAACAAGTCAAATTAGTTGTCGTCGAACGGTTAGGCATAAATCCGTGCTGATCAATCGAAATGTAAAGTGCGTAATTCTGAACCAGCTTATGCAGAACGATCACCTCAAACAGCTTAGAAGTGGCGCTCAACGCAGCTATGCCCCGATAGTTCGAAACAATCCGCTTGCAGCCTTTCTTGAAAACTGGGAAAACATACGACTGCTTCCAGCAGTTTGGGAATACACCAGTAGCCAAGGATAGGTTGAATACTCTTGCTAGTGGTGTTGCAAGTGTATCCGCGCAGCATTTGAGGACAAGCGATGGAATCCCATCCGGACCACATCCCGTGGAGGATTTTAAATCCTTTCCGGCTGATATAACCATATCGGTTTTTCCCGGTTATTTAAAATAACAAACAAAAAATCACCGCTGCTTTAAACTAAAAAGGCATTCAAAAATAACTGGTTGCAGATAATCATATTTTTCAGCAGAATTGCTCTACAATACGTCAATTTTGCAGAAAAATATGAGATAAGATTTGCATTAATATGTTGTTGATCTAGATCTCCAAAATCTCATGAAAGCATGAATTCGTATAAAATCAAAGGGTCTCTGCAAAAATTTTGCCTAAATGTTGTTTTGGTATGTTGAAAAAAGCATAAATCAATACGCAGTATTATAAATTCTTAAAATCTTCCAGGAGTTGAAGTTCTTTATGCCTAAAAACATTTGGTGGAATACAAAGATGTGTTACGAAAATATTTAAATTGTATTGGAGATATTTTACAGGATAATACATATCATGTTCGATTTCCACTTTTGAGCATTTCGAGTCTCCGTTCGAAATATAATTTAAGATTATCAATACGATGATTCGACTTAATGATAGAATGGGTAAACCTTCGGGAAACCCCATAATATAATTGCCCAAGTAACAATTTTGGTTTTATCATGGTTTTGAAGAGGCCTTATAGGCTTAGAATGGACTTAAAGACCACATTGATATCGAAAATGTTGCTTAAGTGGTTTGGAATATTAGATTTTCCAAAATTCCTGGAGTTCAGATCTTTATTTTTTTTTATATATTATATTATTATATATTATACTATATATAATAGTAACTTTAACACTCATGGATCATTCGTGACTTATCCCGGTTAGATTTAGGTTCATGATAATGATGATTACCCCTAGGTTTGAGCTGGATGATTTATCTCTAAGATAATCAAGTACATTGACTTCAGCGTGAGAGGTATGGATTCAGATCTTTTTATTTTACAGGCTAACCAAGTGTATATTACGATATCCTGACTAATCTTGTGTACCTGATTAGCACAAAGTGCAGAAATTTAATTTTTAATTTATCTCTGGACCAATCATCTCATGATTTTTTTAAGTTCGTTGATTGTGTACATTTGCAGGCCAAGCATGATCAAGTATGTAAGGAGTTTGAGATCGGAATTTTTTTTAATTGGCATGAATTTACTTCTCTATCTTCAAGTAACTTCGTGACAAGATATGTCTCGGATAGGCTCTATATTAACACTACTTTACTCGGAGAACTGTAGCAAAATAATTCAAAAAATGTTCATCAAATGACAACCAAAAGAAAAAAAATACACTGTAAGCTATCTTGGTAGCTTCACATGCTCCAACAAATGAAAGAAAAGAATTTGGAATTTTGAGGAATTTTGATACTTTACTACAGTGAAAGCACAGACAAACAGACGTAACTCTTTGAAAAACTTGTTCTTGAAAACATAGTATCTCAAAACATATAACCTCAGTAACGACATCTCTCTGGCTTCTCGCGGAAAACAAGCTTGCTCGCTAACTCGTAAACAATATTGCATAAAAGTTCTATCGAATATATAGAAACGTCAAAGTGATCCGATGCCAGCGCTGCGGCGAGTAGTTCGCGGAACTGATAATATTCAAATCAACCGTTAAATGCATGAACGAAGATACACAATGAAGAGTTACGTCTGTTTGTCTGTGGTGAAAGCATAATATGAAAATTGTAAACAGAAGTTTAACAAATGAATATAATTATGCGTATTTTAAAAAAAATGATTGATTCCATGTAAAAATGCAAGTTTTATAAGGTTTTAAATGATTCTTGAAGACCAAATTATGGCCTACAAGACTATGATAAAACCAAAATGGTTACTTAGGATGAGTATACATTATCTTTCCCGGTGCAATTTGGGTTTTCCCGCATTTTTCCCGGTTTTTTCCCGGAATTCTCGGTTGGATGGACACCCTGAACATCGTCATCAAACGACATGTGACACAACAAAAACTATATCACAAGTGCTTCAGTCACTGCTGATAAACAGTCTGTCTTGATGCTAGTCTTCTCATTATGATCGTCAAGACAAGAAATATCATGTGACTAAGGGTTTTCGTATAGGACACTCATCCTACTTGTTGCTTTGTTCCAACAAGTTTAACCGTCTGGTTTGAAACCAACCCGAACAATGCATAAGGTCCTAACTACATTGATCGATTCTTGTAACGTTTTTTTCTTTTAATCGCCATGATGGCCATGTAAAATGGTTTGGGGTATTATCGAGCAATTAACACGAAAAACACAGCCAGAGCCGTTTTTGTATCCAAGTTATTAACGAAAGAGAAAGTCGATGAAGAGAATTAATCAATGTCGATAGACCCTTATGCATTGTTCGGATTGAAATTTTGTTATTGAGATCAGCAAAAACAAATACAACATAGAATTAAAGCGCTTTTCGAGATGCAATTGATCTGAATGGTTTTCCAAAAACCATATTATTTGTATGTGTATTTGTATGTGTATTTAAATGGAGATCAAAAAGAAGCCTCCCTGGCACTCGATTTCCATCGACTATTAATCAACAATTAGCAAACGGAACACTTTGGTGATTAGAATAGAAGGATTATAATAATGCTACTAATAATCTAAAGGAAGAGGAGACAATAGGGGGACTTTTATGGACCAGTTTTCTGTCAAACGCGAACCAGCGAGTGATTGGTCGCACGAACGTATAGAAACGCGAGGATGTATACAACAGGGAATCTATTTTCTTGTATTTATGTCAAGTCGACATTTATGTCCAGAAGTGCAGAATATTAAATTATCGTTCCACTTATGCAGGATTATTTTAGGACGACTACGATGAATGCAGTCCAGCGAGTGCTCGCTGAAATTCCAGAACGATTCCAGCGATTAAGGACAATCAAAGACTGACTTTGTCAGCAAGATGGCGATACCACCGACTGGTCTACCGACAATTACAGCGATGGCGGTCTGCTCTAACGCGTCTACCGTTCGTTGGCTGTCGTGCGATGGCGGTTTGATTTAGCGGTGTGGCGTTTTGGTGGTGAGCTGGTATGACGGATTTTGGAGCTGGTCCCGATGCATAGGCACTTCCTTCAGACGACAAGGCCTCCTATCTCCTCTCCTCTCTCCTTAGCGATTAGGGCCGTCTGCCCGTGACCGGTGTCCTCCTTCACGAAGAACAATGGTCCTTGGCAATTAGATATCCGTGAGTAGACAGTCACTTCTTCCGTATCGTGAAATTGAGGTCCAAGACTTGCCATCTAGAAAGCGGTTTGAAAAACGTATGGAAAAGGTCCTAAATCGGTGAAATCGGTGTTCAACAGGTCACTACGATTCACTACTTGCATTAGGTTCCCTAAGTATTAATTTTACTCTACTAACTAATCACTTCTGGTCTACACGATCGCCTGTTTTAAAGTGAACGATGGCCATTCGCTGAGCATCGCAGGACCCTTCACCCCATCAACCCGTGACTCCGTGTCACAATTTTGCTGTGGTCATGCACGCCTTATTCAACAATCGGCCGTTAAGCGTGGCAGTGTCGTCTTCACAGTGGGTTCCATCGCTATAGTTTAAATTTACCTGAAGGATCGATCACATGGTGCAATTAAAAAAAAACATTGAATTGAAGGTTTGTGACAGGCATTTGTGTGTTATAAACCAGATCCCTCCATTTTGAACTGGTCAGGCTAATTCCAACCTCTAGTTCGACTGACCACGAAGGAGGTTTAAAATTCGGGGAGGATACCCCTAACCAAAAAAGAGCACTCCCCTTTTGGCACGGTCACTCCGGTATCGTCTTAGGCCGTGTCAGTCCTCGCCAACGAAGAAAGACGCTTGAGAGGCTTCCAAGCCACACACAAACGACAAGCCCTGTCAAACCGGTATGCAGTCAAACCATCATTCTCCATCGGTTCGGAAAACACCAAACACCGTTTGTCGACAGCAGTAGCATCGAGTACTTGCAGCACGTCGCCAGGACTTATCGAAGAAAATCCCACAAAAACAAACAGTAGAAAGAAACTTTGGAACATAGTAGTACTTGTACGATATACCGTTCCGATTCAAATTTCGGACGATTCAAATTTCGGACACTTTCATTTTTAATTAAATATTACATCCAGTTAGAAACAAAGTAATAATGTTAGATGATCGTGGAGGGCACTAGTCAAAAAAATTTAAAATTTACAAGACATGTGGATCATATTCGACCGAGATAATCAACTTTTAAAAGTGTTCGAAATTCGAGTTTAAGTGTCCGAAATTTGAATCGGCACGGTACCTCAATGTTTATGTTGGATTTCCTCATGTCCGAAATTAGTTCATCAAGATGAGAGGTATCTTTTACAGACTATGCGAAATAAGCTATTTATGTTCACAGGTCAGAAACTTCTCAAATCTCTGGTCAAGTACCAACATGGATAGTCCTGAAATAACACCACCACATCATCAAAAATCTTCAACGCACTTAAACCAATCGATCCCTGGTCTGCCTTGGATATTTAATGCTTAAAAATTGTGTTTATTTGAAAACCAAATACGCTGTCAGACGATATTTTCTTTGATCAGAAAATCAGGACTACTTTGATCATTTTTGAGTACTTGTGAGTAACTCAAATTTACTCGCTGCAAATATATTTACTCTGAGTATAGCTGTCTTGCCCCTAGTTTTGCACGGTCGTTTCCGCGAGAGAAGAAGAACACGTTACAGACAAAAGGAAGCCAGTTGTTTTCTCTTCCTTTTAGATAATTATAAAGAGTTCCCAACTGTACAAAGTCTATACGAAATATTAAATAATACGAAAAGATTCGCCAAGTATGTTGCCTTGACGTAGTAAACGATAGTCTTTAGATCCTGGAAAGACGAGTATTGTCGGACTTTTGTAAGGAATAAGCATTGATTCTGAGAACGTGACATCCATGCCGTGATGCAGAACCTGGCAAGGATACTGGCTTCTGTTTCACCTCGACTGCGATTATTGCTCAGAGTTTGCTCGTTACTTTCGAAATATGAATTTTCAATCTGGAAATTTTGATACTCACAGCATTTGGTTGATCTATCCAGCATTGTTTACCTTCCCATTCAAAGCACTTCAGCGGAGGGTTGTGTTGCGTGACACGTTTCATGAATCATTCGATGTGCTGGAAATATGCACGTATGTGAAATTTTCGGTGCAATGTGCAATTGTCGGCAGCAACGAGACGCTTAGCAATGATTCGCATCTTTTTGGCAGGGTGTTCATTGGGAAATGCCCTTTACCTCCCGCAGCCGTTGAATGTTTCGTCCGGTAGCGTCACATTAAATTCCTAGAATCTGGAAATATGCACAAGTACTGTCGGGTTCAATGGCACAATAATATTCATAGCCGGTGATCTTGCAGCACTGACTGTGCATGTCCGCAAAACTTTTAAGTCTCTTCCTATGAACGAAGAGGATACCCGGAACCACTGCTTTCATCGTTAGATATCCACTAAGCACAACAATACGACAACCAAAATGACGAGGAAAAATGTGTTGCTCAATGAAGAAAAATAACAGTCTGCGACAATCACAACCAGTAACAAACTATTTGCCGGACTACTTTGACTTATCAAAGTGTATTGACGAAGCAAAGCAACGCACGTCAGTCAGTCAGCATTTCAATTGGGGTTTCGTCAGTGAGAATCGAGAAATGTAGCACGTCAGTTGTCACGTGATATTGATGAAATAATGCAGCACTGGATAGGACTTATAGAATATAGACACAATTTATCAATGAATGTTTACTATATATGCTAGACTCACTAGACACTTGTTCTTTTCAAAGTGCAGCATTATATAATGTTCTGTGAGAATGAAAGGGACGAAACATTTACATTACACTTGTTTTCCTTGACATGAATACATAACCAAAACTTCCACAAGAGCTTCTAGAGCATTTATTTGACATTGAACGTAAAGCACAAGGTTAATTCCTAAAAATTTTTTAATAGGAGATAATTGTAATGCTTACAAATTAGTCTAATGCTACATGAGGCAATGATAATTGGATTTGTCATCATGATTTAAAATTCCGTACAATATAAGTGTGTAACCACCAGACTTAGAAGTTGGGAGTTTTGTCCATTTTATTTAGCTTGTTCGGTAACTTGATTCCAAACCATACAAGATACATCGTTTCAAACACTAGAAAAACCAATAACTAAAACCCACCGACATTGTGTGATTGATATATGAAACTGAACCACCTTCACCTCCTGCTAGATACACATAGGTGTTGCTTTTTATACAACCTTTATTTACCGAAAGAAAACCCACGTCGCTTTTTTCTTCTCTCTCCCAAAATATTACCAATAAGCGATCAATCATGTAACAATTTGATTTACTTAAACTTTTCTTTCTTTGTTTCTTTCTGGTTCCGTTTTTATTTCGGTTCCATCCATCCATCATCCGTTATGGTTCAATGCATATCGACATAAAATAAACATACTGCCAAAAACTTCCTGCCAAAACAAACAAAACAAAAACAAAAACCACATGTGCTTTGTTTGACCAACTCCGACAAACACTTACACACTATCACCAAAATCGAAAACATCAAACAATCAAAATTCCAATCACCGACAATCAGTGAATCAGATGATAGAATCGAACGGTTCGTCGAAGCATCTGCATGGAACACTGCCGCGGGAAACAACAACGCTACCTGCTTCGGGAAACTTGCATCACCCTGCGGGACCATTAGGTAAGATAACCATCCGAAGCAATCAAGTAATTAGCTGTCTGACTGACGAATCGTTCTCTATGCTTTTTTCTCTCCTCAAACAGGGTACCTCCGCATTCCACACAAATTGATGGCCAAAGTCCGTCCCATTTGGTGCCTGGCAAATTAAGACAATTAGGTCCGGATTTATCGCAGCAAACCTCTCAGAAAGATGAGTGGTTTGTCTAGAGCTAGACAGGAAACACATAGAGCAACAAAAATGAACAATTAAAATCACCGAATAAAAGAAAGAAATCTACTAGCACGAACTGACAGCAGCAGAGGAAAAGAAACAACTCAACAGCAAAAATGATTCTTGAAGAAAAAACAACAACAACATGCAGCGGAACAATAGAAAGTTAGATTGAGCAACATCACGAGTGAAGAAACATCAACTAAAAGCCAACTGAGATAGTAGTAACAACAGCAAGAAAATCAAGCGAAAGCAACAAGAAGCAACGAGCACAGCAGCATACCAAGATCACGATCACATCACGCGATACGCTTGTGGAACTTATCTTCTCAGAATGAATAGAAAAAAAAAACACATTCACAACAACGATGTAACTTATTTCACGTTTTAAAGATCAAGCTGAAGTAAAAAGAAAGCAATACAAAACGTGAAATGAGGATCATTTGTGCGCAGTACGAAAGTAAATAATGCAGAACAAGATCTCTGGATAGAAGACCGAGGTGAAAAGGCAAGAGAAATGGCAAAATTTCATCAGCGAAAACTATACAAAACAGCAAGAAGTTATGTGAAAATCTACTGGATAGAAGAAAAAATGGAAACAAAATCATTCATTCCGACGAACATACTAGCAACAAATCACACAATTGAACAACAATTTTTGGCACTATATGAAGTAAGTATGATAGTATACGTGGTATATCTGACGGGGAGTTTCATGCGTCTCCAGTGAAGTGCATTGTGGGTACAACTCTATTGGAGAAAATATGGAGGCGCATGGTGGTCCACGTTATGCGAAACCAAGTTTTACCATAAGTTTTCTCTTCATAACATTGTAGGTTGAACTTATATGACACGGCCATGATCTAAGTAATTCTAATTACCCTCTTTTCCTCCCCCACCCCCATAGGACTGTCTGGTTGGTCATCAAAAACCGCGCAGGGTGTAAAATAAAAAAAAGGGAGAAACAGTGTACCCAACATCTAGCAATTATCTGTACATAGTGAACATAGTGAACTACAACGGCAGACACGCAGCAATGCGCTGTTTAGTAGGTATATATATTAGAGAAAATAAAAGAATAGTTTATTGATAACTAGAGATTGTTTGATGATGTTTGCGATTTCGAGACAGACGTGAACTATGCAGGAGCGCGAAAGTAAATGTGTGCTGGTCGAATGAAACAGAAAGTAGTCTAATCTTCGTTAAGGATCAATATTAGTAAGAAAATGACAGAAAATTTGCGAGAAAAAAAAGAGACCTAAAAAACTAAACAAATGTTCGATCGCTCGAACGCTGATCGGTAGCGAACGAATGAGGGATTAAGATTATTATTGAAAAAAAAAAGATATTAAAGGTTTACAATTACCTTGTACAGGAAGCGAATCAACCACAGTTGGGAGCGAGCGAAACTAGTTTGATTAACATAATTACAATAGAGACATACAACTTGATCCGTTCACCGTCATTGGCATGAAAGCTTTGACCAAACGAAGCAAAAAGCAGCAACAAAATAATAAGGCATGTTAACTAGCCGAGTAGATTTTCCACCTAAAAGTTCCGACGATTTCTCACATTCTGGCGAAATGAAGACATTAAACATTCAGAGAAAACGTCACTCCGACTGTCTGTCGAATTGATAAGCAAAACTACGGATGTTCCAAACAACTACCTACATAAGCATATATTAGGGATCAGCTGTCCGGATTCGATTTGCGTAAAGAAGGGTGCTGCTTGCTGCCACAATTACTACAACCCTTGTCGCCAAAGGACTATTTTTACACCCCCCCCCAGGGTAAGGCAAAGCAAAACTAATTAAATCCAAATAAATTTCCAACTTCCATTAACTGTCTCTCGGTCTGTCGGTGCACCCAAGCTGATGTAGCATTTTCCATGCGGGCTGCAACGTGCACGCTCTGGAGGAGTCTGCTTTTCTTTCAAAGCTAAAAGAACTAGAACAGAAAGCAAATGAAGGCGGATGACGAGGTTGTGGGTGCAAACTATACAGTGAATAATCACCCCGAATCGGAGGAGAGGCGAGCTGATTTGAATAGGAAAATAGTATCTTCTTCCTTTTTTTTTCTTGTTCCCTCGAAACCACTGAACACTTTGGAAGCGAAGGCACCGAAGCAGTGTTGAAAAGCGAATGGCATAGTAGAATGAATGCAAGGGAGGAGCTTGGTGTTTTCTATTTTGCCAACGGCAGCATCCAGCCATAGCAACGCTGCGGCATTGATTTGCATAAAATGCATCAGCTACCTTAGATTAGTTTGTAAAATCAGAACAGGTTCGCGGTGCTAAAGTATCCTTTCTTCAAGTACATGCTGCGAAATTGGAAGGAGTAGGTGATGGGCTGCTTTCAATGTTTCCACTGATTTCAATCGGTAAGGGACCTTTCTTCATTAAATTTTAAGCACGTCGATTGCTCTCACACTCTGAAGGAATAGGCAACGGAGGAAATTTGCTGATGTCAAATGCAGTTATCCCTCTGCCATTCAAACAGTTCGCTACTATCGATTTTTGAGATACTTACTAAGCTAGGTTAAAAATAGCAATAGTTTTGTTTCGCGCAAAACACGTCTTTAGAGCCCAGAAAACATTGATCGAAATTTAAAAAATTATGATTTTGAGAATCGAGTTTAACTTCTTACAACATTCGTTTCGAGAAATGGACGATTTGGCACTACCCATGAGTTTTAGCGCAGATTTCTTGGCAATTTTTAAGCTATTTTTGCCCAGTCTGTTTTCAAAGTTTCGATTGAACTCTCTCTCTGCCTGCCTAAAGCAGGTTTGACAAGGGTCCCAAAAGTTTTGCGTGGCTTGGTCTGAACGCTGCTCCGTTCAGGCATTGCACTGAACTTGTACCAAGCTAGGGGACATGTATGAATGAAGTAGCATTTGACGGGGGAGAGGGAGGGGCTTCAGAAGTTGTGACGGGTCATGTATTAGATATAGCAAAATACGCTATGACAGGGGAGGGTGGCGTCTAGAATTGGTTAAAAATATTCTACGTAATTTATGGATGGTCAACTACGGTATTTTTCGAGTAGTGCACTGACATAAAATTCGGCCATAATACATAGTAGATACATGGCTGTCATATTGACGGTTCAAGCACTCTCGAAGGTAGGTATCAATGTTCATCGGCTCCATCGTCAAAAATGACTCTGATAACATTGTACACTCACATATCGCTTGCCAATTTTCGTTTGGAAAATATGCATTTATCGTCGTCGTCAACAGGCCATCACGGATTAATATTAATATCCAGGAGTAGCCAAATGGATACAGTCAACTTGTATTAACCTAAAAGTAATATAGAGCAAGTGTTTCGGAGGTGACCACTAGACTGATGCAAAATTTGACTTTTTCGCTCCACAGTGCTTAAATGGTTTCAAATCGGGTCCTGATTAGCCTCCCAAAGTTACAACTCATTTGGTTAGAAACAGACTTCGCACAAGCCATTTGAAGTTTACATGTAAATTACTATGGGAAATTTCAACTTTTTGTTCATTGCCTTCTAGTCTTTTTCCATATTGAGCAGCGAAACAGTTTGATAGCCATTATTAAAGAATTTTCTCAGCTACAACTTTGCTGAAGATCGTTTCTATGAAAAACGAGACAGGAAAAAGTTATTAATTATTTAAGAGATTGGTAAACTTATGACATGATCAAGCAGCTGCTCTGTAGGCAACACTGTATTTTGCAGTGTGACATAGTAGCCATGATTTTTGTGGATTGCGCATTGAACCATCGATAACTTTCGATCCTTGCATTTAATCAAAAAGTGGTCTTCGCCAAAGTTGTAGCTGGGAAAATTTCTTACAAGTACAGTTGAAAGCTTTTGAAGCAGACCGATATGGTGAATTATTAGAAAGACATGAACAAAAATCTTGGTTTTACCATAGTAATTCCCATACAAACTTCAAATGGTTTGTGCCATCTCAGTTTCTCACCAAAGGGGTTCAAATTTTGAGAGGTTAGTCAGGATCCGATTTGGGATCGTTTAAGTATTGTGGAGCGAAAAAGTCAAATTTTGCATCAGTCTAGTGACCACTGAATTTAAGAAATTAAATTCCAAGATTGTTTACGGTTTTTTTTCGGGTGTGCAACATATGTTTCCCGCATTCGTATAAATAGAAAAAAAAACTGGTAAAAGCAGGACATGATTGATTTCAGCAATTGATGTAACTGGAAAAACAGGAAACCGGAGAAACGACCTTCTCTTTACAGAGAAATAAAGTAAATTTCCAGAATTTTTGGAATTTGTTTGGTTTAATTACCATACTTTAGATAAGGTTTTTGAAGTCCGAAATTTGAAATGTTCTACGCACTTAGAAATGATTACCGACTTCGGTAATTTTTACCGAACTTTCAACAGCTGAACTGTTCGGTAAAAATCAGGCATTTTAATTAATTAGTTTTAAGGCTTCAAAACATGGAAAACTTCACCACAATGGCAAGACTCGAGTATTTAAACAAGGCTGACACTGGTTTGAAATTAAAATGAGGATCAAAGTTTTACCGAACGGTCAGCTGTTGAAAGTTCGGTAAAAAATTACCGAAGTAGGTAATAATTTCTAAGTGTGTAGGGAATACTGGAGCGATACATAAGATAATGAAGGGGTATCCTGAAAGTAAACGTAATTCTGAAGATATTTTTAAATAATCCTCAGGAAATCCATGAAAAATTTGCAAAAATATCCTGAGATAAGTTAAGAAAAAAATATATTTTAGATTCAGTATTCAGAAATTTTATATCCAAGATTAATATGAATTGTCAAGATGTTGAGCCTTCAGTTGAAAACAAATTTCAAGATCCTGGTATTACAAAACTGTTCAAGGAGCTTGGTTTAAAACTTTAAGATTAATATTTTACATTGGACTATGAACATTTATCATACAATTTATATGTTTCAGTTCCAATCAAATTCCTGGTAAATTCCCGGTTCTCTCGGTTTTCCCGGTTTAGTGACCACCCTGGTTTCATCGTCCAGCAGGCTACACTGTACCAAAACATCATCCTAAGACCATTCAAATCGAAACATCGAAATCGTTTTTTCGAATGATAGCTGCAGCCGGATGACGGTTGTTTTGCAATCAGATGATACTCCTCTCGAATACAGGATTTATACGAGAAGCGAGCGGACCTCAGTTGAAATACGTAATACTCTCTGATTGTCATCCCAAATTGAAATACATATGCTATTGGTTAAGCACCATAACGCAAATTATCCAGAATGATGATGTACATAATTCTATCGAACGTCATTTGCTGATTTGAGCTGACAAACGAGGTAGAAACATATTCATCGCTATCAGATATGGTACAAACATTGGTAAAGCGTGGAAACCGAAGATAGTCTATTTCGTGGTGGAGTAAGTTTCCTCCAACAACAAA